TGAAATGACAAAAGTTTATTTATAAAAATCTTACAAATAAAAAGTTATATTATCAAATGTATTTAAAAAATGTTAATATAGATTGATTTGGTTGGTCAAATTAAAAATTAAAATAGTTTAAAAAGTCAACTACATTGAATATTCCATACTAAGAAAACATGGAATGATTTCTATTAAAACAAATATTAAAATACTCAATGTTTAAAATTTCGATCAAGATCTTTATAAAATATTTGAAATTAAGAAAATCTTGCCAATTAAGCTAAATTTTAGGCATTGTATCTTACAAATAAATTTAAATATCAAACGTAATAATTATCTTTCCTTTAATATTGAAAACCAATTTTTTTTTTATCAACTGAAAAATGAACGATGGAGATTAAATCTCTAAACCCGATTAACATATCCGTTTAGTTAGTTAGATCCGCGTGTTAACCCAGTTAGAAATGATAATTATTTCATTTTGAAACTATAGTGTAAATTCATTGTGTACTTCAGCTTTAATAGTATAGATTTATTTTTAATTTGTTTTTCATAATTATAAAATGATATTGGAATGTTTAACAATAATGCTTTAATCTTGTAAACTATTTTTATTTCATTTTAACTATTTTTATTTTATTTTAGTTTTCTGTCTTTTTAGCTTTCAAGTGAAATAATGGATCCTGAAGCTCTATAGAACAAAATTTCTGGAGATCCATTCACTAGGCAGATAAAATATAAGAAGTATACGCTGGAGTTATTTGGGGTGGGACTGAAACTCCAGTTGGCAGTGGAAACTTCACGAGCTCTCATATTCCGTTACAATGCGCTTTGGATTCGCCAATCCCTTGCTCATATGGAAACAGAGCCCTCTGTTTCTTCATCACCATCACTTGGCTTTGTGTTCTCCTTTGGACAAGGCAACAATAAAGACCTCTACTTACTTGCAAGCACTGGTGTTTACAGAATCGTACGCCCGAGCCGCTGTAACTTCCATTGCTCTCTTGAAAAGTACACAACGACCTTACCTCCTTCACAACAGCCTGATCGTTCTCCACCATCTCCCTCGTCGTCTAAAAGACTGCAAAACAACATCTTTAAACAATATTCAGTTGATATTTGGTGATGTGGCCGTCGAAAACAATCAGAAGATGTTTTGTCAAAGAATTGTCTCATTAGATGACATAAAACTAATCAAGGAAGTTTTGTTCAAAGCCACAATATTTTCTATATATAAATGTATATAAATAATTTAGGACACAAATTATTTATTTGAATATCCGAATTTATACCCAAAACTCCAAATTTTCACCCAAAAATCTGGGTATTTACTCAAAAAAAATCGAATATGTATCCGAAAACTAGATATTTATCCAAACTTTTTTGAATATTTGGGTATAATTTTGGATATTTGTGTACCCAAAAATTATCGAGTTTTTAGTGGTTATGAAAATCTATACATGAACCAACCCGAACCCGAATGGACTCGAATAGAAACCAAATCAAGATTAATCCATCGAAACTAGTATGCCGGAACTGGTATACCAGAACTGGTATGCTGGAACTAGTATGCTGGAATTGTAGAAATATTTGTTTATTGCTAAAGAAAGAAAGAGAAAATAAAAAAAAGAAGAAACAAAAAAAGATGAGAAAAAAATGAAAGAAAAAGAGAAAAAGTTTGAGTCAAAGACAAAATTGTTATTTTAATGAATTAAAAATAGATTCTATAGCATTTTAGAGAAAATTAGATTGAAAGTGGCATTTCTCAGAAAAAATAATATTGTTTATGTTATAGACTATAATTTTGTTTGAATTGATATTTATTGAATTTGGATAATGTATCAAATATTCAAATTTTATGAAAATATACAAACCCTTAGAATTGACATCATCACGACCAGCCATAGCGAACAAATGGCTAAAATGGAAAGTATGAGACTCATCATTTGACCACTTGTGTTTCGTCTAAAACGAATCGGTCTCATACCAACGTTGTTGGTTTGATGGAAATAAAAAAGAGTTTGCAAAATACATAGGAGGGTGTGTAAGGTCTTCAAGAGAAGAATTCATAGTCTTTGGCTGAGACTATAATGGTTCTGAGGCCACCAATTGGAGCTACGATCGTCAATATAACACCAACTACTATGCAAAACTGCAAAAAACATTTATCACACAACCAACAAGAAATAAGTTATTGTCAAATAATTTTAACAAAAAAAAAGAAAAATATATAGTAGAATTAAAGATGAGAAGTAATAGAGATATACCCAATTAATAGACCAAGACAATCCGTACTTCTTTGGTTTCTTGAGAATAAGCCACATGATGCATGGTAGCTAATCATAGTTAAATATATAAAAAAAAATATTAAGTATAGAAATGAATATGCTTAATTAGTGTGTGCATTACAATTAATACTTACATAGTATGTTGTTGGGGCAAAGGCGAATCCTCCAAAAAAACCGAGTAATCCACCAAAAAATGGGATGCATATAGCAACGAACATTGTGAAAGCTGATCCATTGATCCAATGTTATAAACTCATATATGTTATATTGTATATACGTATAACGTATAGTAATGATTCAATAACTTACCAACATATAGAGTACGAGTGATGAAGCGGAGTTTGAAGGAAGGAGTGAACATCATCTTCTTTACCAAGAAAGTTTCGAGCATGTCAAAGACAGGCATTGCATATATTTGATAGCTTCCAATGACATGGACCACCACAAACGCGTTAGCAATAGCGATAAGCCAGACTGGTTTTTGCAAGGTCATGAGAACATTGTCGTCGACAGTGTTACCAAAAATGTAGTAACAAATGAATGCAACTGGAAAATAACATATGGCGACGACGATGTACGCAACTACTACTCCTTTCCACATTGCAATCTTCGATGGTTTCTCAGGAGTTGAAGGAATAGTAGCTTGAATCTCCAACACAACATTGTGACCCGCGTATGCAAATGCAACATCTCCTAATGCATTCAAGAAGTTGAATACATTTCCTGAGCTCGTCGAGGCTCTAAACGAGTAGTCTACATTTGGTTGAACTCCTTTCTTCACCGAGGTTGCCCAAGCGATGGTTGAGTAGCTACATATATATATTAAAACCACATTAAATATCATGTTAACATTAAGATTATATGATTATGAGTTGGAGTTACCTCAAAGACATAACAGCAGCAGCAAGAGAGACGATAGAAATGGAGTTAAAATTAGGGAGATGAGCTAAAACAAAGTGTACGGAAGCAAAGATCATGATCCAATATGTAGTTCTAATATTTTTGCAATCGGTGCAAAGAAGGTCATGGATTTTTTTCAGTGACTTCCCTCCTGTAACCATGTACACAATATCCACACCTACTTCAACGATTAGTTGTTGTGGCACCACGATCCAGAGTCCAAGCTTCTCCCCAAACGCGTGTTGACCCAATTCATGGTACCTGTCGAACCTCTTCCCTGGAACCATCTCATGCATTTGCACCATTTGCCATAGTGTGTAGAATGTTATCAGCCATGACATTATCATTATTGTCACTCCAGGTCCCCTGCCATAAATAAAATCATTGTAATACTAATATTGAACGAGTATTTTGAGATCTTTATAAAGATTGACAAGAGATTGGTTATATACCATCCGAGGTTGGACATAGCGTAAGGTAAGCTGAGAACACCAGCGCCGACCATGGCGGTGACATTGTGAAAGGCAGAGTACCACCATTTGGCATTTCTAGAGGATGTTATCGGTAACCAATCATCGACATTTTTCTCCTTTGCGGACGCATCCTTGCTTGGAGACAACTTGTTTTCCCCCATGTTGTTTAGTTTTGGCTGTAGACACAAAAAAGACTATGAGAACCAAAAGGAATCAAGAGCAAGGCAATATCTTTCCTAGTGTTGAAGGCTGTACAACAATGCCAATGAGGATGGATATGTGCCTTGTGACAATGGTTAGATTATGTATACAAAATTATTTTACTGTTTTCTTTCTTTTGACCGTTTTAATCAATTAAAGAAAAAATAGAATGTGTGGGTTGTTGATGATACCTTATGACAGGTTAGTTCGTTTGCTGTTTCACAATATGACCATGAGTTCTTGGAATGGTTGCGTTGGCAATTGGCATGCATGCATGATGAAGATTTTGGTCAAGTCAATGATTCCTTAAACTGCATGAAGATCTGGATTTGCCTAACGTAAAGAGTGTTATCCTTAAACTGTTACTGATTTTTATTTTGACTTTTTTTTTTCCTTAGCTGTTATATCAATGTACTAATTTAGGGATAATATCAGTATCACAATTTACAAGTCACGAAGTCACATTTTTAGGTTATAACCCATACTATTTCATAAACTAAAGTACTTAATCAATTTGTATTTTTGTAGATAAATAAGGGCCTTAATGATCGCGCAGTAGATTGGATATTAATTAACATAAACTAATTTAATTTTGTTATGGATCTGATTATGGGCCTAAACCCGAAACTCTTAATTATGAGGTCTCTTGATCCATGATTAATCGACATATTCGTACTTGGTCTCTGTTGCATGTCCTATTGTATGAAATCGTTGATTTGGGTATCCTTATTAAAATGTGAAAATGAAACTGTTATGTGGTGTGCTTCGTTTCTAGTATACCATGTTTGGTCTGTATGAAACCATCACTTTAAAACATCTTAAAACTTGCTTTTGATAACAAATATGACAACGAACAATCTCAATAAGATCATCATCATTATTATTATTATTATTTAGCATCAATAAAAGATATAACGAGAGTAGTATAATGAAAACTAACAATTTTCCCAATCAGACCAGTACTACGACTTGAAAGAGAGACAACATTATTGTTTAGCATAAGTAGAGAGTAACGACTTTAATAGAAATGAAAACGAACAATACCAATACGACCTGAGAAGCTAGAGAGACAGAACAACCCATAACAAACCAGTGATCTTCTTAATTCTTCACATGAGCCAAGTACTGTCCACATGATCCACGAAGGTTTCAGCATTATCACCATCCAACTTTTCAACATCAATTTTTCTGATCAGATTTGGCTTTTCCGTATTGTAAAGCAACACATGTATAACAGAGGGTATTAGGTGTCCAAGACAGCCGTTTTCTGTGAAAACAAGTTCATTTGTTCCATGAATGTTGCCTCTGAAATAAAGCCTTTTGCATCCAATAGCTTTCTTCCAAGGAGGAATCCTAATGCTTCTGAGTGACCATACTCCCATTTCATCTCTAACCCACATTTGCAAACCTCTACTTTTGTTGTCAACAGGCTGAGGTAAGGCAATTTTCTCATTATAATTCACCAAGTGCCAACTATTATCTGACCTAACTTGCTCAGATAATTCAATGACACTAAATTCTTCAGACATCACATTGAAGCTCATTATTACCCGAGCCTTGTCACTATAACGTTCAGCTTCATAGTACAAAACCCCATCTATAAATAGTCCTTCAGTGGATGGTGAATGATCATACGCACATCTGATCGGTCTCCAAGATTCTTCACCGGCGTTGAATCTTATCGTGCAAACCTGATATGTCCTAATCGGATTTACAAATACCCCACTTCGACATGTTATACATAACACCTTGAATACATCCGTAGCTTTGTCGTATCCCAAAAAACTTTTTATGACAGTTTTTGGATCCGCTTTGATCTCCGGTAAAGTCCTAAACGTTTTCGCACCGGGGTTGCAAATCGCAGACTTAGTTCTTAACTGAAGATAGATCAAACCTTGGATGGGTCGAGTAACACTACAAGTAAATGGCTCAAAAGGAATACGTAACTGTTGTTGACCAGACAACAACAGTGGTTCCTCCTTTTGGTAAACAGAGTGAAACAACGCCTCAGTCTCTACGTCATATTTGCCGGGCGCACGTTTTAGCTCTTTATAAACATTGTAAAACCACGACATCTGAGGTTCAGGCGGGTCGGATGCAAATCGTCCGACCATGAACATCAGTCGAGGCCTATCAATCGATCGGTTCAAGTAAACTTTTGCGAAGTCTTCCCCACGGATAAGAGATGCCCATTGCTTCGAGACGCAGATGCATTTCGCCAAGCTTTTCAGAGTGAAAAATGACATAATGTGCTTTTGTAGATCTAGCGAAAATACTGTGTCGAAACTTGAATTCTCCATTTTTTTTTTCTTTCTTCTCTAATGTAATGTATTGTGATGTGCTCTAGTAGTGTGTTATGTGTTCCAGACAAAACCACAAGTGTGCTGTATTTATAGAAATATCTTAAAGAATGGTTAATTGTTACCAACGTTGTGATGAGTAAGAGAAGAGACTTTAGTTTAGCTTGTTGCGTCGTAAAACCGCGTACATATACACACCTTTAATTTCAATTTCATTGGCTTACATGCATCTAAAAACCAAAGGAGAAATGTTACTCCCACACGTTAAAAACTTACTAAAATTACTAGCCAGTTAGCATTGAGATCATTGGATGATACCCAAGTGCATGCATGAAAGTGACAAAGTTGCTTTATTGTAGTTTAGTTCGTGCTAATTGAATCACATGCACGTCAAAATATTAAGTTACCATTTATTTCTTCTAACAAAAAAAAAATGTTTTTAGTTTTAGTTTTGTTTGTACACAAATTAAAGAAAAAAAGACTTAATTACTAATCTCTCTATATGACTAATTTAACAGAGATAATTGGTACCAAGCATGACATGAAAAGGTTTCCTTTTATCGTAGACGTCTACTCGTTGATCGATCCACAAACACAACAATCTAATATAGAAACACGTTTTAGCTTGTTAAAGAAGAATTGTTTTTCCTCTTAACTAAATAACGTATAAGCAACATTTACACATAATCAATGAACTAACGTTTAGATTGTGTAATAGCTAAGTGAATAGCATCGACTAACACGAGCTAGGGTGACTTAGACAATTTGCTAATAATATTACAAGGACAGAAAATTATACACCAAGTGTTATCGTAGCTACAATACACGTTTAATCTCAGTGACATCGTTAGTCGTTATTTTATGAAAAAACATTTCAACACTAGTCGTTGTCTCACATCCAATAAATACATTGAAAAAATATACTACAATCCAACAAAAACAGAGGACTAAATAACAGAGTTATTGTATCTTGTTTTCTTACAAATCTTTGTTCGTTCCTTTCTTCCTATTCACGCTTATTCATTCACAAATGGCTTATTCAAGATAGATCAGGCCCATAGTTACTTAAAGCGTTTGTGAAATCGATCTTGCTTTCATTCAATAATTGGTTTCTGTGATTTTAGAAGATGAACAAATTAAGAATTAGGGGTTTAAAGTTGCTTTTATGATAGAAACGTTTGATCTGAAAACATTGAGTTTGTTTTGTGTTTGGGATTTTAGGTGTTGGGAGATTATTTAGCTTGTCTTTGGTTTTGCACCTTCTTTCAATGTTTCCTCTGTTTCTTATTTTAATTTGTATTATACCATCACTTTCACACATCTTGGAAATGGTATATTAATAAGTGGCAATAAAACATGTTCTTGGTAAAGACAACAAAGATGACAAAAGAACAATCCCAAATATTATATAGTAGCACTGGAGAGACAACATTATTATTATTTAGCATAAATAAAAGATATAACGACAATAGAAATGAAAACTAACAATCCCAACAAGACCAGTACTAAATCAAGATTAACTACTATAGAAAGGAAAACACAACAAGACCTGAGAGACTGAACAAACCAAACAGTTTCTGATAATCACAGTAGACCAACTCGTATTCCTCACATAAGCCAAGCACTATCAACATGATCCAAGAAGGTGCGAACGCGAACATAATCACTAGTTAAACGTGGAGGAACATCAAGCACTTCAATATGAAACCTTCTGAGATTTTTCGAGTCTGTATTGTAATACACCACATAGGGTGATTCATGATCAAACGCGTCTGGTGCGAAAACAAGTTCTTTTGTTCCAACGGTACCTTTGAAACGAAACCTCCTCTTAGTTTCAATAGTTTCTTTCCAACGAGAAACCACAATGTCTTCTTCTCTTGACCATTCTCCCATTGCATTTCTAACCCATATGCTCAAAACTCCATTGTCTTGGTTATCGATAATAGATAAGGCAACTTTCCCATAGTAATTCACCAAGTCCCAACCACGACGAAAAAAGTTAACTTGATTAGGTAATTCAATGACACTAAAAGTTTCAGACCTTAAGTTGAAGCACATGACCAGAGATTTGTTACTATTGGTATCATGAGCTCCATAGTACAAAGCTTCTCCTTTAAATAGTCCTTCAGTATATGGTTGATGATCACGCTTGCATTTGATCCGTCTCCAAGATTCTTCTCTCGATCCCACCGTGTAAACCTGATATTTCTCAGATGGTTCACTATATCCGGGCCGTGTTACACATAACACCTTGAAAACATTCGTAGCTACATCGTATCCAAGAAAAAAATGTAAGAGATCCCTTCCACGATCATATCCTTGGATCTCCGGTAAATCCTGAACCATTCTTTTCATGCCCGGATTGTAAACCGCAACCTTAGTTCGTAACATAAAACAGATCAAACCTCGGACGGGTTGAGAAACTGTATAGCTACTTGTTCTGTCAGGGATTTCAATGCGCATCTGTTGTTGACCAGACGACAACAATGGTTCCTCCTCTTGATAAACAGAGTGAAAACAGAACACCATAGGTTCGGGTGGATATGTAGACGGTGTGACCACCAACATCAGTCGAGGCCTTTTCATCGATCGGCTCAAGTAAAGATCTTTGAAGTCTTCCCCACGGATAAGAGATTCCCATTGCCTCGAGACGCAGAGGCATCTCGCCAACGTTTTCATAGGCAAAAATGATAAAATCTCCCTATGTAGATCCTGCGGAAGTGTTTCGTAAACCATTCTTTTTTGTTCTTCTGTAATGTATTGTTATGTGCTCTAGTAGTGTATTATGTGTTCCAGACAGAACCACAGATGTGCTGTATTTATTGAAAAACCTTAAGAGTTCAGTTTCTTACCAACGTTGTAATGAGTAAGAGACTTGTAGTTTTAGTTGTTGCGTTGTTAAACCGCGTACATACACACCTTTGATTTCATCTCATTGCTTACATGCATCTAAAGAACAAAGGAGAGTTGTTACTCCCACACGTTAAGAACTTACAAAAATTACTAATTTACTAGCCAATTAGCATTGAGATCATTGGATATACAACCCAAGTGCATGAAAGTGACAAAGTTGCTTTAGTGTAGTTTAGTTCTTGTTAATTGAGTCACACTTCAAAATATTAAGTTACCATTCATTTCTTCTAACAAACAAAACAATGTTTTTACTTTTAGTTTTGTTTGTACACAAATTAAAGAAAATAAAAGGTGTGACACGTCAAAACTTAATCAATAATCTCTCTATATGACTAATTAACAGAGAGTTTTGGTGACTTCAAAAGGTTTCCTTTCATCGTAGACATCTACTCGTTGATCGATCCACAAACACAAAAATCTAATATCGATCCACTTCAAAGGTATCCTGATTATTTTTTTTGTTTCTTTTTTATGTGAAAATTTTGTAAATTTCATTTTTATGTTAGTATATGTTTACTAATATTTGTTCTTTAATATACTTTTGAAAAAATAATCATTGTAATCTTTTAAAATTCTGGATTTGTAATTATTCTATATATTATTCCCTTTTAATTGGTATATTTTGATATATCTAAGAAAAAAATAATATTAGGATATGTAGTTTAATTTTATTTTATATTTATGTATATATTTTTTTATAAGTATCAAAGTTTTATCAATAGACTTGTTACTTGTCAAGATGATAAGTTTTTAATCTAATAAGATAGACATTCAATTTAAGATAGATATATCTTTAGTAAATAATTTTCACTTCTTTTTTTTTCGGCAAATAATTTTCACTTTAGTGATTTTAATTAAATTAAGCATATATTATTCTAATGAGAAGAAAAGAAAAAAAAAGAAGCTTCCCGAATTTTTAAAACATTGCCATATGTAAAATAAATATGAAACCAAAATTTCTCTCTACTATATAAGATTCAATAGTTCCCACTTCCCGGTGAGATTTCAAACCCTTGGCAATAGTTATCTTCTCCGATGTTTCGTGTTCTGAGAAAACTTCAAGCAGCCATGGCTTCCAAATCAGAAGAGAAACCCAAATCCTCGACTTCTCAACCTCCTCCAGCAATCGGAGATCTTTTATCTTCCCTCAATGGTCATATTAAGAGATCCAGTAAGCAGCAATCTGAATTTGAAAAAGTCGTCAAGGTCGCTGATCAAGGTTTTCACAAATTCTTACTTATCTTCTTCTTCCTCGTTGATTTTGATTTGGTGAAATTTGAGAATCTGGTGATTTTCTGTTTCCAGTTTTGTCGATTGTACCTTCCGATGAGGATACGATCCGATGCAAAGTTGTGGCTCTGATCAATGACGATAAGATCGATGTTGCTCTCTCCGTTATTAACTCGTTTCAGAATGTTTCAATCGATCTAGGGTGTGAAAAGGTAAGGCGAATTTTGCATCAATTTAAGTGCATTTGATCTTGAAATTGCGCTAAGATTTGTAAGCTCTTAGAGGGAATCTAATGGATGGATTTGTGTTTTATCTGAAAAGGCGTATTGTTTATAGTTTTACCGTCAGAACAAGATAGATGAGGCTCTTGTGTGTTTACAAGGTCGAGAGAGAGATCCAAAGGCTTTGCTTTTGGAGGCTCAGATTATGTACCGTTTGGGGAAACCAGATGCTTGTTTGGATTTGTATCAGCAACTGACCATGGCTGAGATTAAGAAGTTAAAGGTCAGTTTAGAGGTCAATACCGTCGCGGGGTTGATTTCAGCTGGAAAAGCTTCTCAAGTGCAAAAAGCATTGGAGGGTTTGAAGATTAAACCAACTAGTTCATTTGAGTTGGCTTATAATACTGCTTGCTCTTTGATCGAAAACAATAATTATGCTGATGCAGAACAGCTTTTGCTCACTGCCCGAAGGTAACCCACCCATCTTAGGATTGCACATTACTTAGCTGTACTAAATTGTTGTGACCACTGAACCAGTGAACCTTACTGTTTGATCATGATTCTTTCATGTCTTATCACCACTGCCAAGTATTTTATCATCCCCTGCTTTTGATAATCACATCAATCTAGTATGTAGGGATGTATACACGATTTCCATTTTTTTATTGGGTAACTTTTTCAACACTTAAAGCACATTGATTCACTGACTACTGATTTTAAGTCGTGTACAATGTACTGATGATTTTTCTGATAAATGTACTGTTCCGTTGAGACAGAATTGGTCAGGAGACCCTCACTGATGATTTTACTGACGAGGATATTGAGGTTGAGCTGGCCCCAATTATTGTCCAATTAGCGTATGTCCAACAGGTAAGTTCCTTATTTTCAATTTCTTTCTTCAATTAAGATAATAAAATAAAAGAAAGAGGGGTAATTTTTTATGCTACTCGACTTTTTCTTTTAACATCTTGTGAAGATATCTTCCACTTCCTAGTAACATTTTTTTTTTGTTAGCTCCTTGGACAAACTCAAGAATCCACCAACTCTTACGTAGACATCATTAAACGTAATCTGGATGATGAACCTACACTTGCTGTTGCTGTGAACAACCTTATTGCCTTGAAAGGTTCCAAAGATATTTCTGATGGCTTGAGGAAGTTCGATCGGTTGAAAGAAAAAGACTCCCAAATTTTTCAGCTCTCTCAAGCACTTACTGCAAAGCTTTCACAGAAAAATAAGGAGGTTATATATGCCAATCGCGTCCTTCTACTCCTCCATGCAAATAAGATGGATCAGGTCCTTCAAACTTGCAATCTAGCTTATTCTTCTTTTGTTTCTTCTTTGCATACTCTGCTTAACCAGTTAAAAAAATATCTTTGCCACAGGCACGAGAAATTTGTGCTGCATTGCCTGGTATGTTCCCTGAGAGTGTTATTCCTGCATTGCTTCAAGCTGCTGTTTTGGTGAGAGAAAACAAGGCTGCCAAAGCTGAAGAACTTCTGGGACAGTGTGCTGAAAAATTCCCGGAAAAGTCTAAGTTGCTTCTCTTGGCCAGGGCACAAATTGCTGCTTCTGCCAGTCATCCTCATGTAGCAGCAGAGTCCCTGTCCAAAATACCTGATATTCAGCATTTTCCTGCAACTGTTGCCACCATTGTCTCCCTCAAAGAGCGTGCTGGGGACAACGATGGTGCTGCTGCTGTTCTTGACTCAGCAATTAAATGGTGGTCGAATTCGATGACCGAGAGCAATAAGCTTAGTGTATTGATGCCGGAGGCTGCTGCCTTCAAGCTCAGGCATGGTCAAGCAGAGGAGGCTTCACGGCTATACGAGGAGATTGTGAAAAACCATAGTAGCACAGATGCTCTGGTTGGTCTTGTGACTACACTTGCTCGTGTCAACGTCGAGAAAGCAGAAACTTACGAGAAACAGCTTAGGCCCCTACCGGATTTGAAGGCTGTTGATGTGGATAACCTTGAAAATACCTCTGGTGCAAAACCCATTGTAGGTGCTGCTGCTTCATCTAGTCAGGTAGAAGCTAAGAAAGAGAAGGCGAAGAGACAAAGGAAGAGAAAGCCAAAGTATCCCAAAGGATTCGATCCGGAAAACCCAGGTCCTCGTCCAGACCCTGAAAGATGGCTTCCAAGAAGGGAAAGGTCAAGTTACAGACCCAAGAGGAAGGAAAAACGAGCAACTCAAATCCGTGGCTCGCAGGGTGCTGTGCCGAAGGATAAACGAGAAGCAGCTCCTTCAAAGACTTCAAAGTCAAACCAATTGGCCAGTTCTAAAGCAAATGCACCTGTACCTTCTTCTTCTAGGACCTTAAAAAAGAAGTGTAGAAGATGAACGAAACAACCCTTTAAAATTGATTCATTTGTAAATTTGTTCGTCCTCTGTATTTATTAAAGTTCGTAGTTAAATATCTCTGTTTATTGATAAACAGAGTGAGTATATAAATGAGATTTACAAAGATTTATCACCATTTGTATATATAAGAAAATTCTATAAAGTTACCGCGTGTTAGAGGATACTAATCAACAAGCTATTACACACTAATCCAAGCGTGAAGCGTTAATGGCTGCAGGTTTATATTAGTTGTGTTGATTAGCATATATGTGTAACATGTTGCATGTAACTTATACGTTACTTAATTAGCTTAATTAGTTGAACTTTGTAAATCTGTTAGACCTCTGTCTTTGTATATTACTATATTGTTCTTGTTATAAAATAACGACTAACAAGGCTAATGAGATTGACCGTGTATTCTGGCTACGATAACACTTGGTGCATAATATTGTATTTGTACTTATTATAAGCAAATTGTTTAAGCCACCTAGCTCGTATTAGTCGATACTATTCAACTAGCTGTTACACTATCTAAACGTTAATGGAAGGTTTATATTAGTTTGTTGATTAGCATCATTAATTATGTGTAAAATGTTACTTATACATTATTTAGCTAGAGAAAAAGCTTCTTCTTTAACAAGTTAAAACGTCTTTCTATTATTTAATTGTTGTGTTTGTGGACCGATCAACGAGTAGATGTCTACGATAAAAGGATTCCTTTTGAAGTCATGCTTGGCACCAAATCTCTCTGTTAATTTGTCATATAGAGAGATTATTGATTAAGTTTTGACGTGTCCCACCGAAACTAAAAGTATAAACCTTTTTTTTTTTCTAAAACTTTTTTTATTTTGTTTGTTAGAAGAAATAAATGGTAACTTAATATTTTGACGTGCATGTGATTCAATTAGCACGAACTAAACTACAATAAAGCAACTTTGTCACTTTCATGCATGCAATTGGGTATCATCCAATGATCTCAATGCTAAATGGCTAGTAATTTTAGTAAGTTTTAACGTGTGGGACTGATATTTCTCCTTTGCTCTTTAGATGTAAGCCAATGAAAAATGAAACTAAAAGTGTCTATGTACGCGGTTTAACGACGCAACAAGTTAAACTAAAGTCTTTTACTCATCACAACGTCGGTAACAATTGAGCTCTTAAGATATTTCTATAAATACAGCACATCTTTGGTTTTGTCTGGAACACATAACACACTACTAGAGCACATCACAATACATTACATTAGAGAAGAAAGAAAAAAAAAATGGAGAATTCAAGTTTCGACACAGTATTTTCGCTAGATCTACAAAAGCACATTAATTATGTCATTTTTCACTCTGAAAACCTTGGCGAAATGCATCTGCGTCTCGAAGCAATGGGCATCTCTTATCCGTGGGGAAGACTTCACAAAAGTGTACTTGAGCTTATCGTTGGAAAGGCCTCGACTGATGTTCATGGTCACACGATTTAGAACCCAGCCGCCTGAACCTGAGATGTCGTGGTTTCACAATGTTTGTCTAGAACAAAGACCTGAGCCCGGCTCATTAGTGGGCCTAAGATCACTTTTTACCAAGGTCAACATAACTAACAAGAATAAAAAAAAGGACGTGGACATGGAGGCGTTGTTTCACTCTGTTTACCAAAACGAGGAACCACTGTTGTCGTCTGGCCAACAACAGTTGCGTATTTCTTATGCGCCATTGACTTGTAGTGTTACTCGACCAGTCCGAGGTTTGATCTGTCTTCAGTTAAGAAATAAGTTTGCGATATGCAATCCCGGTGCGAAAACGTTTCGGACTTTACCGGAGATCGAAGCGGATCCAAAAACTGTCATACAGAGTTTTTTGGGATACGATAAAACTACGGATGTATTCAAGGTGTTATGTATAACATGTCAAAGTGGGATATTTATAAACCTGATTACGACATATCAGGTTTGCACGATAAGATTCACCGCCGGTGAAGAATCTTGGAGACCGATCACATGTGAGTATGGTCATAAACCACTTACTGAAGGACTATTTATAAATGGGGTTTTGTACTATGCCGCTGAACGCTATAGTGACAAATCTCGGGTAATAATGAGCTTCAATGTGATGTCTGAAGAATTTAGTGTCATTGAATTATCTGAGCAAGTTAGGTCAGATTATGGTTTGCACTTGGTGAATTATCATGGGAAAATTGCCTTATCTTATTTTGTTAATTACAAAACTGGAGGTTTGCAAATGTGGGTTAGAAATGAAATGGGAGAATGGTTACCCAAAAAAAACATTAAGATTCCTCCTTGGAAGGAAACTGTTGAAGACATAACGTTTTCTTTTAGAGGCACCATTAATGGAACAAATGAACTTGTTTTCACCGAGAACGCCCTTCATGGACGCAAGGGATTACCCTATATTGTGTTGTTTTACGATCCGGAAGAGAAGAATCTAAGAAGATTTGATATTGAAAACTTGGAGGGTCGTGATCATGTTAAAACCTTCGTGGATCATGTGGACAGTACTTGGCTTATGTGAATTAAGAACATACAAGATCACTGGTTTGTTGGGTTGTTCTGTCTCTCTAGCCTCTAAAAAGTGTTCGTTTTCATCATTTCTATTTATGTCGTTTTACTCTTAACTTATGCTAAACAATAATGTTGACTTGTCTTTTTCAAGTCGTACTGGTCTTGTTGGGAGTGTTATTAGTCTTCTTCATTTCTATTGTTGTTAATCTTTTATAAATCTATGCTAAATAATAAATAACGATGTCGTTAATCGTTAATCTACACGTACTATCGTATTGAGATTTTTCGTTGTCTTCGTTATCATCAAAAACATGTTTTATTGCCAATTAAGATAAAACCATTTCCAAGATGTTCTAAAGTGATCATGTTTTTTAATACAAAAAAAAAACACACACAAAAAAACGGAATGAATCATAAGAAAGAAAGAGTGCAAAATCAACTAATGTTTCAAGTCCCATTATTCTTAGGACAAGTAGACGAGTAGTTAAAATAATCTTTAACATCATAAATGAGTTCATTTAAGAGATGTTTTCAACTTGAAAATTTCAGTGATGGCTGTTTCATACTACGTACAAATGAAGCCACAGCACAAACAGTGGTCGGGAAAGAGACTATGATTGGGCTTCACAAATCAGATATATGGGCCTTAGCACTTTATGGCCACTTTGGTTCAGATACAAAACGACACCGTTAGTAAAATCACATGAAACTCCCGAAGATAGTTATTTTTTCGGTTATCTAATTATCTTTGTAGAAAAGAAACAAACCTGTCTGGTCTTTTCGAATGTGATTCTTCGTTCGTTGTTGATGATGATGAGGCTGGTTCAAGTATCTTCTACTGAATCCATTTCTTCTATTTCATCTTCCTCGGCTCGGAATGGTGGTGGTGGAGTTCTCTACTTGAAGCGTGTTTCTGGTAATATCATCGAACACCTTGTGGGCGTTTGTGTTTTTATTTTTTTCTTTCAATTTTTTTGCTTTGTGGGTAAATTGATTCTTAATCCGCTTTAGTAGATGAACTCGCGAGGCTTAATTGGAAAAATTGATACATTCATAATAGAAAGTTCGCTGCTTGTTCCCGTATCTGGGTTTAGTTGATTTCCTCCACAAATGTTGTTCCTTTTTAATATGTTTTTTTTTTTGTTTGAATCTGTTTGATGCTTTTAAAGTTCAAAGATTGTATTTTTTTTTCCGTATATTAGGAAGAAGATTACAGTCCAGGGTTCTAGGTTTATCACTGATTTGAAACGTTCTTGTATTGATAAAGTAGGCCATAAGCTTTGATCATATATTGCAGTCACTTTTATTAAACTTGAGTGTATGTTTTCTCTAACTTTGTGTTTCAGTCTGCGGTTTCTGTAGTGTCTTGAAGCCAAATAAAGTTGCTTTCAGTAGCATGATTCGTTCAACTTTGAGGACTTGCTCAGTTTCTGGGTTCCACACTCTTTGTCCCAAGTCAAGCGGTTCTGTTGTTTCGAAAAAGAGGTTTTGTTCCACTGCCTCACCACTCATCACTGAAACTACTTCACCCTTTGGTCATCCCCGTTCTTCAGTAATTGTGTCAAGCCTTCTCTCCCCATCAGATGTCCCTCAGAAATCGGAAGAATGGTTCGCTTTGCGGAAAGATAAGTTAACCACAAGTACATTCAGTACAGCGCTCGGTTTTTGGAAAGGAACCCGACGTGCCGAGCTCTGGCATGAAAAGGTATATGACTCAGATTTACGAGTATTTGAGGAATCTGCACAGTTTGCTATGAACTGGGGTGTACAGATGGAACCAGCTGCAATAGAGAGGTACAAGCGAATCATGGGTTGTGAGGTCGGTTCAATGGGGTTTGCTATTCACTCCAACGAGCAGTTTCACTGGCTTGGCGCATCCCCGGATGGAATTCTTGATTGCTTTGGTATCCTAGAAGTGAAATGCCCATATAACAAAGGGAAAACCGAAACTGTGTTACCGTGGAAAAAAGTTCCCTACTATTACATGCCTCAGCTGCAGGGTCAGATGGAGATAATGGACCGGGAATGGGTAAACTTGTACTGCTGGACACGAAATGGAAGCACGGTTTTCCGTGTGATGAGAGACCGAAGCTATTGGAGTATCATACATGATGTACTAAGGGAGTTCTGGTGGGAGAATGTCGTTCCTGCTAGGGAGGCTTTGTTGTTAGGGAAAGAGGATGAGGAGGTGAAAAAGTATGAGCCAACATCTACGCATAAGCGAACCGGGCTTGCCATAGCTAAAAGCATAAATTTGGCTGCGGAATCAAAACTAGTATGCAGAGAAATTGCTGATCACGTCGAGTTCTTTTAGATGAATATGAGAATCTCCTAAATCTTTTGAATTATTTAATCGATGATTCATCTTATTAGATCACATTGTTATACTTGTGAAACTGGTTAAATGACGTAATACTCTTTGATCAGATTTCTAGACTATCTGGAGATCAGCGGTTCCTATCGCCTGTAAATTAATTTGATGTGAATTGTTTCGTTCATTGTAAAATTAGGTGAAGATAGTTAGACCAAATTTTCAGTCAAAAGACAAAATATTGATTTCTCTTTGCCAACCAATCAGATGGCCAAAAAACAGACTTTGTAATTTAGGAGTTGGTTACCAAAACAAAAGAGAGGAAACTAATAACTAAACCGAGTCAACCAAACAACAACGAACAAGAAAAACAAAGCTGCACATTATTGTCAATATATAATGAAATATGTTCCTCCAAACTAATGGTTATTTGATTCTTGAACATCTGCAAGTCGAGAAGAATATGGATTCGGGGCCATCGTGGGCTGATCAATGGGATTATAACAATCCTGACCCTCTTCCGTGTCCGACGAACGAGGATGAGAGCAAAAAGAGCAGTAAGAAGCAGAAGAAGGAAGAGGATGGAAGCAAAAGCAGTCTTGGGAAGACATTACTTGGGTTCAAATGGGTGAAGGAGCTCCGCAAGAAATCTGAAAAGTGATCAGTAGAGAGATGTTATTTGATTCTTGTTGTTCTTAATCCATTCTTTCTCTTCTTCATCTCTATTTAGCTTTAGTGTTTTACTCCTATTAACCGCTTCAAATATCGTTAAAAAGCAAAAGAATTCAGGCAATGCAAAAAGAAATTAACCAAAATCTTAAAAGGGTCAAGACAATTAAAACTTGATCAATCCAAAGTAAAAAGGACAATGCTAAGTACTCTTTGTTTTTGTTTTATCAGAACAGATAAAACAATCTTAAAGGGTTGTTTCGTTCATCTTCTAGACTTCTTTTTTGAGGCCCTAGAAGAAGAAGGTGCAGGTGCATTCGGTTTAGAACTGGCCCCTTGGTTTGACTTTGATGTTGAAGGAGCTGCTTCTTGTTTATCCTTCGCCACTGCACCCTGCGAGCCACGGATTTGAGCAGCTCGCTTGTCCTTCCTTTTGGGTCTGTAACTTGACCTTTCCCTTCTGGGAAGCCATCTTTCAGGGTCTGGAGGTGGACCTGGGTTTGCCGGATCGAATCCTTTGGGATACTTTGGCTTTCTCTTCCTCTTCCTCTTCGCCTTCTCTTTCTTCACTTCTTCCTGAATCGATGAAGCAGCAGTGCCTTCGATAGGTTTTGCACCAGAGGTCTTTTCTAGGTTATCCACATCAACGGTGTTCAAAGCTGGTAGGGGCCTAAGCTGCTTCTCGTAAGTTTCTGCTTTCTCGACGTTGACACGAGCAAGTGTAGTCACAAGACCAACCAGAGCACCTGTGCTATTATGGTTTTTCACAATCTCCTCATATAGCCGTGAAGCCTCCTCTGCTTGACCATGCCTGAGCTTGAATGCAGCAGCCTCCGGCATCAATACACTAAGCTTATTGCTCTCGGTCATTGAATTCGACCACCATTTAATAGCTGAGTCAAGAACAGCAGCAGCACCATCGTTGTCCCCAGCACGCTCTTTGAGGGAGACAATGGTGGCAACAGTTGCAGGAAAATGCTGAATATCAGGTATTTTGGACAGGGACTCTGCTGCTACATGAGGATGAGTGGCAGAAGCAGCAATTTGCGCCCTGGCCAAGAGAAGCAACTTAGACTTTTCCGGGAATTTTTCAGCACACTGTCCCAGAAGTTCTTCAGCTTTGGCAGCCTTGTTTTCTCTCACCAAAACAGCAGCTTGAAGCAATGCAGGAATAACACTCTCAGGAAACATACCAGGCAATGCAGCACAAATTTCTCGTGCCTGTGGCAAATAAATTTTTTCAACTGGTTAAGCAGAGTATGCAAAGAAGAAACAAAAGAAGAAACAAAAGAAGAATAAGCTAGATTGCAAGTTTGAAGGACCTGATCCATCTTATTTGCATGGAGGAGTAGAAGGACGCGATTGGCATATATAGCCTCCTTATTTTTCTGTGAAAGCTTTGCAGTAAGTGCTTGAGAGAGCTGAAAAATTTGGGAGTCTTTTTCTTTCAACCGATCGAACTTCCTCAAGCCATCAGAAATATCTTTGGAACCTTTTAAGGCAATAAGGTTGTTCACAGCAACAGCAAGTGTAGGTTCATCATCCAGATTACGTTTAATGATGTCTACGTAAGAATTGGTGGATTCTTGAGTTTGTCCAAGGAGCTAACAAAAAAAAAAAATTGTTACTAGGAAGTGAAAGATATCTTGACAAGATGTTAAAAGAAAAAGTTGAGCAGCATAAAAAATTACTCCTCTTCCTCTCCTTTCTTAATTTAAGAAAGAATTTGAAAATAAGGAACTTACCTGTTGGACATACGCTAATTGGACAATAATTGGGGCCAGCTCAACCTCAATATCCTCGTCAGTAAAATCATCAGTGAGGGTCTCCTGACCAATTCTGTCTCAACGGAACAGTACATTTATCAGAAAAATCAGCAGTACATTGTACACGACTTAAAATCAGTAGTCAGTGAATCAATGTGCTTTAAGTGTTGAAAAAGTTTCCCTACATACTAGATTGATGTGATTATCAAAAGCAGGGGATGATAAAATACTTGGCAGTGGTGATAAGACATGAAAGAATTATGATCAAACAGTAAGGTTCACTGGTTCAGTGGTCACAACAATTTAGTACAGCTAAGTAATGTGCAATCCTAAGATGGGTGGGTTACCTTCGGGCAGTGAGCAAAAGCTGTTCTGCATCAGCATAGTTATTGTTTTCGATCAAAGAGCAAGCAGTATTATAAGCCAACTCAAATGAACTAGTTGGTTTAATCTTCAAACCCTCCAATGCTTTTTGCACTTGAGAAGCTTTTCCAGCTGAAATCAACCCCGCGACGGTATTGACCTCTAAACTGACCTTTAACTTCTTAATCTCAGCCATGGTCAGTTGCTGATACAAATCCAAACAAGCATCTGGTTTCCCCAAACGGTACATAATCTGAGCCTCCAAAAGCAAAGCCTTTGGATCTCTCTCTCGACCTTGTAAACACACAAGAGCCTCATCTATCTTGTTCTGACGGTATAAACAATACGCCTTTTCAGATAAAACACAAATCCATCCATTAGATTCCCTCTAAGAGCTTACAAATCTTAGCGCAATTTCCAGAGCAAATGCACTTAGATTGATGCAAAATTCGCCTTACCTTTTCAAATCCTAGATCGATTGAAACATTCTTTATCGAGTTAATGACGGAAAGAGCTCCATCGATATTATCGTCTTTGATTAGAGCCACAACTTTGCATCGGATCGCATCTTCATCGGAAGGTACAATCGACAAAACTGTAAAAAAAAGTTCACCAGATTCTCAAATTTCATCAAATCAAAATCAACGAGAATTGTACGAGGAAGGAGGAGGTAAGTAAGAATTTGTGAAAACCTTGATCAGCGACCTTGACGGATTTTTCATATTCAGATTGCTGGTTATGTTCATGGATGGAAGAGAAGAGATCTTCGATTGCTGGAAGAGGCTGTGAAGTCGAGGTTTTGGCTTTTTCTTTCGATTTGGGAGCCATGGCTGCTTCAAGTTTTCTCAGAACACGAAACACCGGAGATGAAAACGGGATCCAAGCTTCCAGATTTTTTTGTCAAGGGTTTGCATTGCCAAGATAACGTATGGGCTTTTATATGGGCTTTTGAAATATCATTTTATGTATGTTCATGTCCAATTATCTTATGCTGGATATTTGAAAATCAAGCAGATAGATACAAATTTTAGAAAACTGTTAAAAGGACAATAACAGTAATATAATTTGGTTTTGGTTTTCTTCTGCGTATGCCAATGTTATGCTTCTAGACTAGTTCTAGACATGTTCATAAGTTACATACTGTTATGACAAAAAAAAAAAAATGTTACATACTGTATTTTATAAAATGCCAAAATCATATCTCGAAAAACTTTTTTACATATTTCCTATTCATTAAAATAATACGCTTAAGTTTAATTAAAATACACTGAAGGGGATTTTATTTACTTAAATACAAGTTTTTACTTCCAAAAATTAAAATTGAATATTATCTCATCATTATATAAAAGTTTAGTTTTTACAATTAATAACTCACATGGTAATGACACTTGTCAAGTATATTGATAAAATTCCGATACTTGTATAAAACTGAACATGATGGGGACATGTATCAAGCAATATATGAAATTTTGATACCTGTAGACGAATTTTGTCTAATTAAATTTTGATATTTGCTAAGATGAAAGCTTTAACATAAAACATATATTATAAGATATCTATATATCTATATAAGTATATAATTTAACATTACTAGAATTTTTTAAAATAATATGTTGCAATAAATTTAAAATGTAGAAATGTAAAGTTACGTCTGTTATAAAAAGTTAATTAATGTAGTAAGGCCAAAAAAACACTATTTTCCCAACTAAAAATGTATCTATATAGTATATACTTCTTAAATATTACAACATAATATGAATATATATTCGTTTGTTTTTAAAATGTATACCATGAAACTAAATACATACTAGTAAAAGAATGAAAATTAAGGAAATAGTTTTGGAGGATGCCAGCTTCCTTGAGAGCGGCTTTGTACTCTTCCTCTGAGTTCCAAGTGGTTATCTCTTTTACATTTGCTCCAAAGTACTTCTCGATCTTCTCCATCGCTTCTTTATCCCACCCATCATCTAACAACAGATTGAATACCGCTCCTTTACCGCCAAACCGGCCAGCCCTTCCCACTCTGTGAAGGTAAACCTCATAATTTGGCTCCTCGGTGTTATAAGTACAGGGAAGATTATAATTGACAACCAAATTCACCTGCATTATTGTGTTAACCAAGCAAGACACATGAACTACGAGAGACAGGTTTTGGGGCCAAAAGATAAAAGGATAATAACACACTAACCTGCTTTTGGTCAAAACCTCTTGCAATGACATCGGTTGCAATGAGAACTTGAGTTAAGTTTGCTTTGAACTCCTTCACTACTGCATCTCTGTCCGCTACTGTCATACTACCATGAATGCTGGTGACATCATACCCCATTTCCGCAAGAGCTTTGTGCAGTTTGTCCGAGGAAGAGGAAATAGAAGAAATGGATTCAGTAGAAGATACTTGAACCAGCCTCATCATCATCAATCAACAAACGGAGAATCACATTCGAAAAGACCAGACAGGTTTGTTTCTTTTCTACAAAGATAATTAGATAACCGAGAAAATAACTATCTTCGGGAGTTTCATGTGATTTTCCTAACGGTGTCGTTTTGTATCTGAACCAAAGTGGCCATAAAGTGCCAAGGCCCATATATCTGATTTGTGAAGCCCAATCATAGTCTCTTTCTGGACCACTGCTAGTTTCATTACACAAGGTAGGGGATTCTTCAAATTGTAAAACTACACAATTGTATGTGTTTCGTCTGTGCTTAGTATGAAACGACGACCATCACTTGAAAACATCTCTTAATTGAACTGATTATGATGTTGAAGATTATTAAACTACTTGTCCTAAGAATAATGGGAGTTGAAACATTAGTTGATTTTGCACTCTTTCTTTCATATGACTCATTCCATTTTTTGTTTTTGTTTTTGTTTTTGTATTAAAAACATCACTTCGAACATCTTGGAAATGGTTTTATACTAATTGGCAATAAAATGTGTTTTTGATGATAATGAAGACAACGAAAAATCTCAATAAGATAGTATGTATAGATTAAAGATTAACGACATCAATATCATTATTTAGCATAGGTTTGTAAAAGAGATATAACAACAATAGAAATGAAGAAGACTAACAATCCTCCAAATCAGACCAGTATGACTTGAAAAAGACAAGACAACATTATTGTTTAGCATAAGTCAAGAGTATAAATGAAAAGGAACACTTGAGAGAGAGGCTGGAGAGACAGAACAACCCAACAAACCAGCAGTGATCTTTATTCTTCAGATAAGCCAAGTACTGTCCACATGATCCACGAAGGTTTCAACATAATGACCCTTCACCTCTTCAATTTTAAATCTTCTTAGATCTCCCGAATTTGTATCGTACAACAACACAATATAGGGTAAGTTTTGATTTCCAAGAGAGGGGCTGTCTGTGAAAACAAGTTCATTTGTTCTATTAATGTTGCCTACGAAATAAAACGGTTTGTCTTCAACAGTTTGCTTCCAAGGAGGAATCGGAATGCTTCTGAGTAACCATTCTCCCATTTGATCTCTAACCCACATTTGCAAACCGCTAGTGTTGTAGCCAACAGGAGCAGGTAAGGCAATTTCCTCATTATAGTTCACCAAGTCCCAACTATGACCTCCTCTGCTAACTTGCTCAGATAATTCAATGACACTAAATTCTTCAGACATCACATTGAAGCTCATTATTACCCGAGCCTTGTCACTATAGCGTTCAGCTTTATAGTACAAAACCCCGTCTATAAATAGCCCGTCATCACATGGTTTATGACCGTACTCACATGTGATCGGTCTCCAAGATTCTTCACCGGCGGTAGATCTTATCGTGCAAACCTGATACGTCGTAATGGGGGTTTCAGACATATCATACAATGATATACATAACACCTTGAATACATCCGTAGCTTTGTCGTATCCCAAAAAACAGTTTATGCAAACTTCAGAATTACCCCCATCGACCTCCGGTAATTTCCGAAACGTTTTCGCACCCGGATTGCAAATCACAATCTGATTGTCCAAATGAAGACAGACCAAACCTTGGACGGGTCGAAGAGCACTACAAGTAATTGGCTGAACATAAGAAATACGCAACTGTTGTTGACCAGACGACAACAGTGGTTCCTCCTTTTCCTTTAGGTAAACAGAGTGAAACAACGTCTCCATACTTGGATTTTCACAAACATCGTGAAACCACGACATCTCAGGTTCAGGCGGCTGGGTTCTATCTCGACTGACCATGAACATCAGTCGAGGCCTATCCACCGATCGGGTCAAGTAAACTTTTGCGAAGTCTTCCCCACGGATAAGAGATGCCCATTGCTTCGAGACGCAGATGCATTTCGCCAAGCTTTTCAGAGTGAAAAATGACATAATGTGCTTTTGTAGATCTAGCGAAAATACTGTGTCGAAACTTGAATTCTCCATTTTTTTTTTCTTTCTTCTCTACTGTATTGTGATGTGCTCTAGTAGTGTGTTATGTGTTCCAGACAAAACCACAAGTGTGCTGTATTTATAGAAAAATCTTAAAGAATGGTTAATTGTTACCAACGTTGTGATGAGTAAGAGAAGAGACTTTAGTTTAACTTGTTGCGTCGTAAAACCGCGTACATACATACACACCTTTAATTTCATTTCATTGGCTTACATGCATCTAAAAACCAAAGGAGAAATGTTAGTCACACACGTTAAAAACTTACTAAAATTACTAGCCAGTTAGCATTGAGATCATTGGACGATACCCAAGTTCATGAGAGTGACAAAGTTGCTTTAGTGTAGTTTAGTTCTTGCTAATTGAATCACACGTCAATATCTCAAGTTTAACATTGTTTCTTCTGACAAAAAAAAAAGGTTTTCACTTTTAGTTTTGTTTGTACACAAATTAAAGGAAAACAATAAAAGGTGTCATGACACGTCAAAACTTAATCGCTAATTTCTATATGACTAATTAACAGAGAGATTTGGTGTCAAGCATGACTTGAAAATGTTTCCTTTTATCGTAGACATATACTCGTTGATCGATCCACAAACACAACAATCTATCTAATATAGAAACACGTTTTCGCTTGTTAAAGAAGAAGCTTTTTTCTCTAGCTAAGTAATGTATAAGTAACATTTTACACACATAATCAATGATGCTAATCAACAAACTAATAGAAACCTGCCATTAACATTTAGATACTGTAATAGCTAGTTGAATAGTATCGAGTATCGACTAACACGAGCTAGGTGGCTTAAACAATTTGCTTATAATAGTACAAGGACAAAATTATGCACCAAGAAGTGTTATCGTAGCCACAAGACACGGTCAATCTCATTAGCCGTTATTTTATAAAAAGAAGAATATACAAAAACAGAGGTCTAACAGATTTTAAGGGAGACAATGGTGGCAACAGTTGCAGGAAAATGCTGAATATCAGGTATTTTGGACAGGGACTCTCCTGCTACATGAGGATGACTGGCAGAAGCAGCAATTTGTGCCCTGGCCAAGAGAAGCAACTTAGACTTTTCCGGGAATTTTTCAGCACACTGTCCCAGAAGTTCTTCAGCTTTGGCAGCCTTGTTTTCTCTCACCAAAACAGCAGCTTGAAGCAATGTAGGAATAACACTCTCGGGAAACATACCAGGCAATGCAGCACAAAGTTCTCGTGCCTGTGGCAAAGAAAATTTCTTAACTGGTTAAGCAGAGTATGCACAGAAGAAACAAAAGAGGAATAAGCCAGACTGCAAGTTAAAAGGACCTGATCCATCTTATTTGCATGGAGGAGTAGAAGTACGCGATTGGCATATATGAACCTCCTTATTTCTCTGTGAAAGCTTTGCATCAAGTGCTTGAGAAAGCTGAAAATTTTGGGAGTCTTTTTCTTTCAGCCGATCAAACTTCATCAAGCCATCAGAAATATCTTTGGAACCTTTTAAGGCAATAAGGTTGTTCACAAGCAACAGCAAGTGTAGGTTCATCATCCAGATTGCGTTTAATTATGTCTACACAAGAGCTGGTGGATTCTTGAGTCTTTCCAAGGACCTGACAAAGAAAAAAACTATGTTACTAAGAACTGGAAGATATCTTGACAAGAGATAAGCAGTATAAAAAGTACCTGTTGGACATATGCTTCATGAACAGCAATTGGGGCAAGCTCATTCTCGATATACTCATCAGAAAATTCGTCAGTGACAGTTTCCTGACAAATTATGTCTCAAAGCAACAAAAAATTTATCAGGTATGAGTTACATTGTACAAGACTTCTGAAAATCAGCAGTCAAATGATCAATGTACTTGAAGTGTTGATGTATACATCCCTACAAACTAGATTTGATGTGCTTATCAAAAGCAGCATGTTGATGGGAAAATGATTGAATAGTTGGCAGTGGTGATAAGACAAGAAAGAATTGAGACAAAACAGTGCTAACAACTAATTTACCCGTGTCAAAAAGAACCTCTTCAGAAATCACTAGTAGAAACAATGGCTTAGGAGACATAAATAATGAGCAATCCTACATAATTAGGCTTAGATCTCTTAAATAAAGTGAGATTATAAACCTCCTGCCAGTGAGAAGAAGTTGTTCTGCATCAGCATAGTTATTGATTTCAGTCAAAGAGCAAGCAGAATTATAAGCCAACTCAAAAGAACTAGTTGGTTTGATCTTCAAACCCTCCAATGCCATAGCCACCGTCTTCCTTGTCTTGGCTATCTGCAAAGTTAAAATAAGAGCCAAAACTTGTTCAGTGACAGATTCTAATGCATTGTCCTCGACACATAGAGAGTGATGTTAAAATTATTCCTGCTTACTTAAAAAACCAGTATAAAGTGTTGTTATGATCAATGTGTTGAAAAAGATACCCAATAAAAAAGGAAATCATGTAAACATCCCTACATACTAGATTGATGTGTTTATCAAAAGCAGGGGATGTTCAAGGAAAACACATGATAAAATACTTGGCAGTGGTGATAAGACACGAAAGAATTATGATCAAACAGTAAGGTTCAGTGGTTACAACTATTTTACCGAATTACTGATCCTATTTAGTACAGCTAACTAATGTGCAATCCCAAGATGGGTTACCTTCGGGCAGTGAGCACATGCTGTTCTGCATCAGCATAGTTATTGTTTTCCATCAAAGAGCAAGCAGTATTATAAGCCAACTCAAATGAACTAGTTGGTTTAATCTTCAAACCCTCCAATGCTTTTTTCTCCAGCTGAAACCAACCCCGCGACGATATTGACCTCTAAACTGACCTTTAACTTCTTAATCTCGGCCTTGCCCAGTTTGAATATACTTCTTAAATATTACTTACAACATAATATGAATATATTTTTGTTTGTTTTTAAAATGTATACCATGAAACTAAATACATACTAGTAACAGAATGAAAGTTAAGGAAATAGTTTTCATCCGAGGATGCCAGCTTCCTTTAGAGCGCCTTTGTACTCTTCCTCTGAGTTCCAAGTGGTTATCTCCTTAACATTTGCTCCAAAGTACTTCTCGATCTTCTCCATGGCTTCTTTATCCCACCCATCATCTAACAACAGATTGAATACCGCTCCTTTACCGCCAAACCGGCCAGCCCTTCCCACTCTGTGAAGGTAAACCTCATAATTTGGCTCCTCGGTGTTATAAGTACAGGGCAGATTATAATTGACAACCAAATTCACCTGCATTATTGTGTTAACCAAGCAAGACACATGAACTACGAGAGACAGGTTTTGGGGCCAAAAGATAAAAGGATAATAACACTAACCTGCTTTTGGTCAAAACCTCTTGCAATGACATCGGTTGCAATGAGAACTTGAGTTAGGTTTGCTTTGAACTCCTTCACTACTGTATCTCTGTCCGCTACTGTCATACTACCATGAATGCTGGTGACATCATACCCCATTTCTGCAAGAGCTTTGTGCAGTTTGTCCGCTGACACTTTTGTTTCCACAAATATAATGGTCTGGCCAATATCCCCAAGCTCCATAATCTGATCCTTGATGACTTCAATCTTGTTTTGTTCCTCCGGGCAAACCACTTTATACTGCTTCACTGAGTCCAAAGTCAGAGCCTTTCTTTCTACAAACAGTTTGTTGGGGTCACCCTTGACTATTTTCTCAACAAATTTCCTGACGGTTTCGTTAAAAGTTGCAGAGAAAAGAAGGACCTGTAAACAAATAAGAAAAAAACATGTCAAAGAACTCAATCTTGTAATCAAGTTTGCCACAAGAAAGGAAAAGCAAAAGAGTTTACGTTCAACTGAGATCACTAGACGGAGACTAGTTTAACAGACCTGGAAACTGGTATCAAGATTCTTTTTTTTCTTTTGGTACTCAATGTCTTTCATTATCTTCAAGGAATCATCCTTGAAACCATCCTGCAACAAACATATGAAAGAAAACTATTACAAAGAGGTTGAGAAAATAAGCAGGAAAAAGGAAAACAGAATAAAGAGCATACCGTAGCAAGCATGTGGTCAGCCTCATCAAAAACCAGAATCTTCAAATGACTTAGATCTAGTTTCTCATATGTCATCCACTTCTTAAGTGTTCCAGGGGTGCCAACAGCCACATGGGGAGAAACAGGAGCTTGTTTGGCGACTGGTACGCCTGTTGGCACAAACACTTGAGCAGTGATCCCAGTGAACTTGCCCATCTTCTGAAGGACTTCCATATTCTGGTTTGCTAATTCTCTGGTGGGACAAATGCAAAGGGCTTGAGTCTTGCTCAGTGTGGGGTCAACCCGGCTCAACATTCCAAGCACGAAACATGTAGTCTTGCCTGATCCGTTATGGGATTGGGCAATAAGATGCTTGTAAGGTGGAGTCATGATCATGGGCAAAGTGATTGCTTGGATCTTGCTCGGCTTTTCGAATCTCATCTCCACGTACAAGCCTTTTATCAATTCAGGTGATAAGTTCAAATCCTCAAACCTACTTGCTGATGTATACACTGTGTCACCAGAAATAACCTAGGCGAGAAAATCAACAAAATCATCCAAATCAAAATCCTACATTTTCCAGTAAAACCCAGAGATCTAAGATCAATTCACAAATTCACAAAATCTAATTATTTACCGCTTCGATATTTGAATCTTCGGGTTCGTGAAGCACAGAGTCACGTTTCTCTTCCTCCTTAATGCTCAAACGATTAAGCTCCGTTGCTACGCTTACTTCCTCAACATCGCCGCACTTTTTCTTCTCCGTTATGGGCTCTCTGTTTTCGCCGGCGACTGATGGTTTAGCCGAGGTTGATGATGACTCAGCGGTGAGGGATTTCTCTTCATTATCCGCCATAGCTCTAGCTAGACCAAGAAAAGTGAGAAAACAAGTCGACCAATTCCAAAAACCCTAAATGTTATAAACATGCACATACGTTACATATTTATAAAATTCCAAAAATCGATTTGTCGGAATACCTTTTTACATATTTCCTACTCATTAAAATAAGAGGATATGCTTAATTTAATAAAAACACTGAAGGGAATTTTCTTTATTAAAATACATTAAAAAAAAATTATTCCAAAAAATAAAATTTGGATATATTATCTCCTCTTGATGTGAATTAGAATTTTGAAAGCTTAGATTTTTAGTTTAGTAATTCACATGATGGACATGTGTAAAAAATATATATCTTAAATTAAAATATTTAATATGTTCATAAAGACCATTTTAGAGATGATGGTAAAAAAAATTTCCGGAATAAAATAATTAGGCTTAAAACATAATATTTTAGTAGTAAATGTATTTTGTAAATAAATGTAAATAAGATAACATTTGTGATAAGTAGTTTGCATGTGAACTATTTTTTTGAAGAAATTGTGTAATCATATTTTAGACTAAAATTATGAAACCACATTTTTCTACATTTGGTGATAATTATAACAGTGAATAATATTTAGCAAAAGTTATGGTGATTGAGCATTTAATATTAAAGAAATTAAATGCCAAAAGTTATTATACTACATATCAAATATAAAATTGTAAATTAATGTTAATGTATTAAAGCAAAAGGAAAAGTATAGATAATTTTTTTTTAAAGCAATAATTTATCTACTTATTTCTTAAAGATAGCTCTTGCTTATAACAAAAAATTAATACAGTACATGTTTTCGTAATATTTATTTTAGTTTAAAAGTAGTTTTAGACCATTTTAACATTGGATTAAATTTTAAAAAATGAAAATTAAGGAAATAGTTTTTTCCCGTCTCGGTCTCACTTTCTTCCTTTGGGTCCATCAGCGAGCGAGAGGCTTTTCCCTCCCAGTCGCTCTTTTTTTGTTTCTTTCTCTTTTTTCCCTTTCTCGAGAAAATAGCAGAGGGGAAATGACGGAAAACGAAGGAAACGACAAGAAAATGGAAGGATCTAATCCTAAGAAGAAGCTTAACCTTGTAACCTTCACCGGAACCGCCGGTCTGCTAGGACTCGCCGTCAGTTTCGCCATCTTCGCTTTCAATTCTCACAAGCAAAAATCGAAGAAGAAAGGTACCCTCTCACTCTCTCACTCTATCACTCTCAGATTCCGCGATTCACGAATTCAAAATTTCACAATGCTTACCTTAATTCATTGATTAATTTTAGGTCTTCCGGGTTGTGATACTGTTTGTGTTAACCTATCTGCGAAGGAGATTCTCGACTTAGCTGACGAAATTATTCACAAGTCCACGCGAGTTCATGATGATGTTGCTTTGGTTGCTTTAGATAAGGTATTTTGAAAATTACTGGATTAAGAAAAAGTTAGGGGAAACGTTAGATTTATATGGAATTTTTTTTTTTTTCTGATTTTGATTCATAATGCTTTTGTAGCTCTCTTATGAGAATGTTGTATTGCCGTTGGCTGAATTGGAAGCTAGACAGCTCTCGCTTATACAATGTTGTGTGTTTCCTAAGATGTTATCGCCTCACGATAATGTTCGTAAAGCTAGTGCTGAAGCTGAGCATAAAATCGACGCTCATATTCTCTCCTGCAGGTGAAATTGGAATTTTGATGCTGTTTTGGATTTCTGATTCACTTTATATGAAATTGAAATTCATTTCTTTGTGCAAGCTATTCAGAAAACGTGAAGATGTTTACCGGATTATCAAAATTTATGCTGCAAAGGGAGAATCAATAGCACCGGAAGCTAAATGCTACCTACAGTGTCTGGTAAGGAAAATTGAATTATGTGCTCCTCTTATATATTGCTCTCAAGGTTTTCAGATATCACATTGCTTCTGCTAATGCTATGTAGTGCCTTAGCCATAAACACCTTCTAACAACTGAGATTATTTAGTTCATCTGTTTTCCTGATCATAGTTATCATTTCTAATTTCTATTTTCTTGGTTCATAATTTTGTAATATTGATATTTGAGGTGTTTTTATCCTCGTGGACTATCATATAGTACTCTTTAAGAGTTAGACCAGAGAATTTTGCATTCTTGAGCTTCATTCAGTTACTCTAGAAGAAAGCAGTTGGAATAATGAGCTTCCTTTTTATAGCACATTTTCAGGAGTTGCTTGTAGACTGCTGTTTGAATTGAACCAAATTATTGATTTCTGTTTTATCAGTGACAGGTTAGAGACTTCGAGGACAATGGTCTGAACCTTACTGCAGTAAAAAGAGAGGAAGTTGAAAGACTAACAAATGAAATTGATGAGCTTAGCTTGCGGTACATTCAGAATTTAAATGAAGATAGTTCTTGTCTCTTTTTTACTGAGGATGAGCTTGCTGGTTTGCCTCTAGAATTTCTTCAGGTGTTTATTCCAAATTTAATTTGCTTACTCTGTCACATATGCAAATTTTTGATAAACTATTTCTCATTTCTGCACTTTCTCCTGCAGAGTTTGGAACAAACTCACAATAAAGAATTTAAGCTGACCTTGGAAAGTCGTCACGTCGCAGCTATTCTAGAATTGTGCAAGGTAAGAATTTCCATGGTCTTTGTTGATTGCCGTGCCACAGAAATGGTGGCAGTTACTTGCCAACTCTTGATACTGGCTTTTTTAATAACTAGGGATAATTTCAACATCACTCTCTATGTGTCAAGGCCAATGCATTAGAATCTGTCTTTGAATAAGTTTTGGCTCTTATTTTAAACTTTGCAGATAGCCAAGACAAGGAAGACGGTGGCAATGGCATATGGAAAGAGATGTGGAGATGCCAATATTCCAGTGTTACAAAGATTGGTACTTGCGTGTCTATTCTAAAATCCTTGACAGAAGCCTGCAGCACACTTTAATCGGTTGACCTTTTACTATTCTCATCTCTGTAGGTTCAGTCACGCCATAGATTAGCTCGCGTCCTTGGTTATGCACACTTCGCAGATTATGCTCTTGATCGCAGAATGTCAAAGACATCAATGAGGGTTTGTGAAAGAACCCTAAGTGATTAGTTTAGCATTCTTCATTACTCGTTTGTGCCGACGCCCTTCTTATGCCAGGTGATCAGGTTCCTGGAGGACATCTCATCCAGTTTAACTGACTTGGCTATTAGAGAGTTTTCTATTTTGAAAGACTTGAAGGTAATAATATGTTGGTATTATATAATAATCGGTGATGCCTTTCTCACTGTTTAACTTACTGGGTTTTTAATCTCAGAGAAAAGAAGAAGGGGAGATTCCATTTGGCATAGAAGATCTTTTATATTACATAAAGAGGGTAGAGGAGTTGCAGTTTGATCTTGATTTTGGAGATATCCGGCAATATTTTCCTGTCAGCTTGGTCCTTTCCGGGATCTTTAAAATATGTCAGGACCTTTTTGGTGAGTTTACGTCTGTACTCTAAAATCTTTTAGGGTCTTAATAAATTTCTGTTTTGCTTCTGTGGCTTGAGAATATTTACTATCCATTTATTTCATCTTTGTGATAGCTTGCTGACCACCTTTATGATTTCGCCATACAGGAATAAAATTTGAGGAGGTTACAGAAGTTGATGTCTGGTATCATGATGTTCGAGCTTTTGCCGTCTTTGACTCCGGATCTGGAAAGCTTTTGGGATATTTCTATCTTGACATGTTTACAAGGTCCACTAGCAACCTTACTTCATCCTCCTCTTTACTTTTAGAGCCTCCATTTCATTTTGAATTCGAGGAATAATTTTGTTGGACAGGGAAGGAAAATGTAACCACAGCTGTGTGGTGGCTCTTCAGAATAACGCACTGTTCTCCAATGGTGCATGTCAGGTGATAATCTTACATCCATGTCGGACTTTTATGTGGAAGTATAGTGCAACTCAAAGAATAAATTAATATTGTGATCTCATGTAGATATATTTTAACGTTTTAGTATTCGTATTTTTATTTACTTCTGTCTCCAGATTCCTGTGGCGTTGCTTATTGCACCGTTTGCCAAGGATGATAGTGGTGAAGCTGTGCCATTGGGATTCTCTGAGGTGGTTAATCTTTTTCATGAGTTTGGCCATGTGGTACGTGAATGAAACTGGTTACCTGGAACAGCAGAATAAACTCTGTTGGCATCTTTTGTATAAATCAGAGGATGTTACGACTTATGAGCTGATATTCCTTCCTATCTGCAATCATTCGTAAATAGGTCCAACATATCTGCAATCGTGCTTCATTTGCTAGATTCTCGGGCCTACGTGTTGACCCTGATTTTCGGGAGATCCCTTCTCAGTTATTGGAAAACTGGTAAGTAAACTGATACTTTTTTTTTAAAAGTGTTTCTGTATCAAAACCAAATTCTTATAGGTGGAATATAATTCTGGTATCTCTAGGTGTTACGAGAGTTTCACGTTGAAGTTGATATCAGGTTATCGTCAGGTGAGTGCTTCTCACGACTAAATTGTTGATAATTGTTCTTTTGGTAGACTAGTCATAATAATTTGTTTCAACCTGGGATTTAGTTGTGTTGCCACTCTAGTCTGTGACTGCTTTATTTAATCCGTTGGACCTGCAGGATATCACCAAGCCACTTGTGGATGAAGTCTGCAAAACACTCAAACGTTGGCGATATTCTTTCTCTGCTTTAAAGTCGCTTCAGGAGATATTATATTGTGAGACATCTCTGCATATGTCTTAATTGAGTTTCAATGATGCACATGTATACCTTTTCATTTTGCATTACTGTAGTTTATTCACTGAAATATCAATTTGTTAGGACAAAAAATGATTTGTAAGTAAGACGAGTAGATTGTGGTTCTTATTATGCTTTAGAGGAAGCATAATTTAACTAGGCAGTTCTTAGCAGGTAAAATGTGGTATTGACTAATGATACTTGAAATATGAATGATCAGGTCTATTTGATCAAATAATATATTCGGACGATGATGCTGACTTACTGCAGCTAATCAGGAGTCTTCATCCAAAGGTAAAAGCAGAAACTCTCATAGCAATCTGGTCTTTTTACGCGATTAATTTGTCTTATACTAGTCTCTCTCTCAATATATATAGGTAATGATAGGGCTACCAGCGGTGGAAGGAACCAACCCTGCTTCATGTTTCCCACGTGCTGTAATTGGCTCTGAAGCAACATGTTACAGTCGTTTATGGAGTGAGGTATGATTGATTTGTTCTGTCGTGATTCACTCATTCCATAGGTTTTTTTTTGTCTTGAGAATCCGCTTTTTTCCACAGGTATATGCTGCTGATATATTTGCTTCAAAATTTGGGGATGGGCATCCGAATCTGTATGCCGGCTTGCAGTTCAGAGACAAAGTAAGAAGCGTATTCGTTGTTTTTTCCCTTTGCTTTAGTGGTGTGCGAGTGTGAAAAGAACTAAACAACTACTTTCTTATCAGGTGTTGGCCCCAGGAGGAGGCAAAGAACCAATGGAACTTCTCACCAGTTTTCTTGGAAGGGAGCCATCAACGCAAGCTTACATCGATAGCCGGACAAACTATAGTTTGTAGTATCTTGCACCTAACATTAGGATCTTCCAAATGAATCTTGTTTGGCTGGTGAAAATAAGCTTTTTTTTTTTGGTTCTTAGAGACATGGTTTATTAATGTTTGTTAATGAGTTAAGAGGACCGATTTAGTTGGAAATTGGAATCATTCATTCTTACCTTTCTCTGCATCTTACCCAATAGTGATCGTTATTGAAACTTTTCTTCTCTAACCAGAACCAGAACCAGAACCAAAAAAGACAATTCACCCTATAAAAGACCGGTTCTGGTTCGGTTGGGTAGGACACGTGGCAGGTCCAAGTAGATAAGGTACGAATCGACGAAATCATCATCCTCAAAAAACTCTCGTTTACGACGAACACAGAACACACTAGTGGGTGAATCTTCTGGTGCGTAATGGAAGTGAGTATGTCTCTGAACGCGTTAACTCGGCTTCCCCTGAAGAACACGGGAAGATTCGAAGAGGTTGGTTTAGCTAGACACTCGCTGTTTAGCTCGAGAACGGCATGTCGAGAGACGGCGGTGCAGCAGCGGCGGATGGCTTTTGTGGTAGAGGCTAAGGGGAAGAAAGGTATGGCTGCTCGTCAGTATCAACGTACTCCTCCTCCTATGCCTAAGATTGAAGAAGATGGAAACCCAAGATTCGTTATCTTCATCCGTATGGCCAATGTTCGTCTTTTCTTCCTCTCTTTTTTGAATAGCTTCGATTAGGATGAAAATTGTTAGCTTTTCTTGATTCTGTTTGCAAAGTTATACACTTTTCTACAATTTTATACTCCTAAAACAATGATGAGATTGCAATTGTTCTCTTCAACACTTATTGTACACATAAAATTGTTAGCTTAATTGGTTTTGTTTGCAAAGTTATGTACTTTCGTTCAATTTAAATCTTTTAGACTAATTATCAGATTGGAGTTGTGTTGTAGTTTCATCAATGCGAGTTTTTATTCCAACATTTTAGTTCTTGTCTCAAAAAGTGTTTCGTTTGACGTGAACAGGTGTATCTTTGGTATCCTCTTAGTATAATTGCTGGTGGTACCACTGCCAAGATCATGGTTGCTGCAAAAGATAACCTTTTGGGGAAGTATATCTACAAAGACACCATTGCAAGGAACATTGCCGCTGTTATTTACAGAGTAAGTTAAAACAAGCGTATTGTTACGATTGTGGCTGTGTGGTCTAATTCCGTTTTACTATTGTGGCTCCTGAGATGTGATTTCTGACTGTTTTCTTCTTCAACATAGGATGAGAAAGAAATACAAAAGACAGCAATAAAGCAGCACCGTGTCTTGCGTTCAGCCACTGACTTTCGATATGGCTACAAACTTGTTGTAATGCTCTCAAAACCTTTTTGTTTTAACTCCTTTGGAAACACTGTTTCTTTTTTGTTTTAGAGGGCAGATTCTGTGAGGGCATAGGAAAATTTTTGTGGTTTCTTTTTCACTTATTATGGCTGCATTATACATTCAGGAAAACGGAAATATGAGAGCTGCACTTAGTACCTCAGATGTTATCGAGGTGAGCTATATACCTAACTAATTTGAGATCAGCACTCAAACTCCCTACAGTGAGACCAAAAGGGTGCTGTTATATATGTTTTCTCTGAAACATTTGTGTTTTGTCCTGAATAATCACAGCTCCCAACCCAGGACCAGCTTAAAACAGTGTTCGACAAAGTTAAAGACTATTTCGGCGATGCAAAAGAGTCATTCGGAAAGTTAACATCGCTGAATCCTGGAACAGACGAAAAAACTGAAGAAACCCCCGATGAGAAAGCCAAGTAAGTATAAACAGGTAACTGATGTTTCTTTTTTCATTTTCAGTAGATTTTTGGTGTTTTTCATGCCAAAATGATATAAAATCGTTTTACAGGGCCTAAAGCAGAACAATTGACACTTGGTTGGTTGATTTTGATGTCTCAACCATATCCGGATGGGCTGCAGAAGGTCATTGGATACTACGAGATTACCGCTATCTTGTGCACATTTTCTTTATACATCTCTCACAGAAACAGCTTCTGTTAAATCTCTTGTAACATATAACTTATTGTGAATTTGTAGATTTGTTGAAAGAAAGAGCCGTTGGTTACAACTTGCGAGATGAACTTCTCTCAAAAATTGATCAAATAATAGTAGTCATAAATTATGATACCTTTCTCACTTCATAGTTCCGATAAATCCTTAACTAGAACTGTGGATGAGGCATTCAAAAACTTTGTGAAGGCAGCAATGAGGGATATCAGAGACCGTTTGCAGAGATAAAGTAGAATCTCTCTGATCGACTGCCTGCACAGGAAGTTGTTAGAAAATTCAAAACTCATGTAGTTTCCCATCTTGAATTTGGTGGCAACTGTTAGATATCTTCGATGTTAAACGTCTTCTTAACACTCATTCGTATATCTGCTCTCGCATTCTTTGGTCATAGAGTTATGGGACAGATTCTCAACAGCTGGAAGAACATCCCATGTGTAGGAGGAGGAAAAGTTTCTAAGTTTTACTAATGTGTAGATATCTACGTTTCAAGATACGACATTATGACAGGCCAAGTATTTTCCTTCATGTTAAAAGGGAACCCACTGTGACCTTGAAGATCTAAGATGCTAAGTGACAGTATGAAACATGTGGTCTTATCATTGTCATCAACCTGCTTGGTGTAATTAGCCTATGACATGGATTATTGTACAATGCATTCGACCATGGAAGGTTCTTGGAAAAGCAAGATTATTTTCAGGTATACCCACAAAATCTTTCTGCATTACACCCACCAATATACGAAAATAAGTTATCGTAACAAGGTTAAGATATGAATAAACCGTGGTCTACCATGAAGGAATAGTCGTCAGGGTCAGGCAGCCGCTCATTTCCATACCAAAGGTTGAGTGGGAGCTCAGATAGGAGTGATGGGCTATTACTGTAGTCCTGAAAATAGAGTCCGGTGTTTGCAAGAAAACGATCGCCATTAAGGCAGCTCAAGTCTAAGTCAGTGTCTAAAGAAGCAGAATGATGTGATTCTGGAAGTTCCCAGTTCAAGCTTCTCAGAATCGCCTCTGTGTTGTTGGTTACATTTGAGCTGAACTCCTGCTGCTTCATGCAGGATATGGCAGAAGGATCCAAATCTTGAATTGTTACAGTAGAGATCTTGTCTTGAGGCATGAGAAACTCATCTGCATTCACACTACTCCCTCCTGCTGGTGTCTCATAAGGAGGCTTCATCTCTTCTTCCATGAGAGACGGTGCAGAATTTGCAACATAGGAACTTTGACTTGGCAATGGTAGTTGCTGGAGAAAGCTATTCTCATACAGAACCGGCTTCGATTCAAGTACCTCTGAAGCATCATTCCAGGGAAGCAGTGAGTCAAACGCAGAGGAAGATATCGGAGGAGGATCAAATCCTATACGCGTCTTTTTAGTTTTTGGAGGCATGATCACATCAGTGTTGGGGTCAGACAGAGAAGCTGAAGCAAGTGGCTTTGGATCTGTCTCTGTTGCTTTTTGGAACATGCCCCCAGAGAACACAAAGCTGCTCTTACCAGGGCTTTGGTGGCCTGAGTTCACTTCAGCATCTTTTGGAGATGAATCTATACTCTTCACGCCACCAGAATAACACTTGATCTCCTTTTCTTTCTCCAATCGGCTCAGGTAAAGCCTGTATTTCTACAAAAACAGAACAAAAAAAAAGTGGCGAAAAGCTTAATCTAACACTTGTTTTACTCGAATAGTGACAAGGTAAAGTTCTTTACCTGAAGATGGCTTGCAACATTTTCCCTAGTGAGCCATGGAACATTCATGAGGTCCAATATCTTCTTGGGACCAGCTTCTGCCAAACAAGAGACCGGAAAAAAATTCACGGCTCTATGAAGACAAGATAATAAAGAGAGAGAGAGGCAAAGGGGAAGAAACCAAAGTCGCCAACGTACTTACTGTGATCGCATCCGATTTGGTTAACGGCGTTGACAAACTTCTGGTGAAGCTCAAAAGACCAAACCACTCTGGCTTTCTTGGAAGAAGAAGACGAAGGGTCGCTCTCATCTTGAAGTAGCTTCTTCTCAAAGTCAAAGTCTTTTCTCTTTTTACCAAAAGAAACATCTTCACCTCCTCCAAGAAAATGTGCTTCATCGTATCGAGTGATCCAATCAGCTCCACCATCATAACCACAGCCCTCGATGTCTCTCACTTCCTGAAGCTTCTTTCTAAGAACATGTTGCCATATGATCTTCAGTTCCTTCATTCTTATAGGCTTCAACAGGTAATCACACGCTCCGTGCTGCACACCTTTCATTACTCTGCTTGTTTCTCCATCCACCGACATCACTAGTAACGCAAACAAGACACAAGAGAAATATTAATATCCTTTTTTTTTCATTTTTATTACAACAAGAAGTCAAAAGATGTTTCTTTTCTTCTCACTTATGACAGGGAGGTCCAATTCAAGACCAACATGCTCAAGAAGCTTGAAACCATCCATGTCAGGCATGTTCACATCGCTGATCACGATATCATATCCGTCTTTACGCTCCCTTAGCAACCTCAGAGCCTCTCTAGCTAACCCACAAGTCGTTACTACAAAAACACACAAAGGAATCAAGGAGAGAAAAAACCTCAACATATAATCCAACAGTTGTGGAATAAAACATAAGAAGAAAGAAACCTTCGTAAGAGCACTTCTTGAGCATTTTCTCGAGAATCTTGAGCCAAGTTGGATCGTCGTCCACTACAAGAACCCTGAGACCGACGGGAGAGAAGCCGCCTTTCTCCATGTTCGCCGGCAAAAACAAGAGAGACAGAGAAAGAAAGAGAGAAAGAGAAAGAGAGAGAGAGAGAGAGAGGAGAAAGTGGTGAGTGTTCCTTTTTTGGAAAGGAGAAAGTGGTGAGTGGGTTTTTGTTTGCGATGAAACTTACATTACTCGGAATATTTTGGCGTCGTTTAGATAACGGTCACGGTGGCGTATGTTAGCGTTTCCTTCTTCTCTGATCATACATAGTTTACAATTTTTTCTCTGTTCTTTTTATTTGTGAATTACTTTTTTATTTATTTTATGATTAATTTGTGGATAAAAGAATAGAATTTAGTTCGGTCTAAGTTCACTGCCAAAAAAAAATTAAATTTGTTGAAGTCATTTTATCTCTCTAGATTTGTTGCGTTGACGCTTTTTTTTTTTTTTTTGCTCCATATATATTCCCTCCAATAATTTAGGTGTTTAAAATTGTTCTTAAAATATTGCCAATTGCTATGAATATGATAATAATATGGATCATATCACCTTTTCTTTTACTCTACATACATGTTCGTACACATCAGTACACCACGTTCATAGTCTATATCGCATAATATAAACTCTTTTGTTATTAAATTGTAAATATTTTCATTGATAATGAAAATAGTTTACGTTATAATCCAAAGAACGTAAATCACTTAGTCGTATTAAAGTGTTTTACAATATGCTTTCGCTCTTTTTTTATCTACAATTTATATGAGAAAGACAACATAAACAGCATCACTTCATTTTGTACTCAAAACTTTTTAGCTTAGTTAAATAGATAGATCAAAAATGTGTTTACCCTGTTATGTTTTCGTGTTTTGATTTTTTCTTTTGCCATATTAACTATTTAACTCGTCTGGTTTTTGACTCTATATGCAAAATTTTACGCTCCAGCGTTAAAATCGTGCTCATAAATAATCAAATCCGTAACAAATCAACGTGACGTTTAACCCTAAATTAAGACACTTGAAGTGTTTGATCATTGACTCTGCAAAGACGACTTCAAATGTTTTGACCTTTATAGTTTATTGTAAGGAAGAAAGACGAAAGAATAAAAAAGGAAAATGGTACACAGCTTGTCATGCACAAAGCTTTTTTATCTTATGGATGAGGACGTGGCCTGTGGTCGAGACTATAGACAAAACCACAAACAACAGATACTTCCTCACTCACTAATGTTTTTGTTCTTTATCTATATATATAATTATATATTTAACAAGACAGCTAACTAATTGCACAAACTTTTTTGGCCATGATAGAAAAAGGGAAAACGCATTATGAACATTTGTAAACAGTGTTATCGTTTGGGAGTTTGTGGGATTTGCATATATAGTACACAAGTCATGTATCTGTTTTTATGGGATCAGGGACGAGGTTTTCACGTGACCCGCATTATAGCAGGAGCAGTATATATCAGCTCGTTTCACTTTCATGATGACTATTTTTTTCATTATTGTCCAACTTTTGTTTGCTAGTATCTATCTAGTATTATATACTACTAGTATAGTATTCCGTATAATATAGTATTGAGATGTACGTAGCCACTCGTAGAGTGACTGAGTGAGAATTATAGTCTACGTACGTAAAGCATGTAACAAATGTGCTCTCAACCAAATCATGGAAATTGGGAACATTGCGCGGAATGTTACGTTTACTTTTGAACAAAGTTTTTATACTAACCTTACAAAATTAATATACTGAATTTTAAAATAACTTAAATTAATATACCACATACACTTACATAAACCCTAATTTCGTTAAGGACCCTTTTTCCAAGAATTTTGAACATCAGGCGCAACCAAACTTTTATCTATATATATTGTTTAATGAGTAGTACGTGGGTTTATAATTCTATTATAGTAAAATGTGATACCATATGGATGTATTCATGTTTTTTTTTTTTTTGGTAACATAAATAGCCATATACTTCGCTTGCGGACGTAATTTAACATGTACATAGCAGTCTATGGGTTGTCACTTCATGACAAAAATCATAAAACTAGGAGATTTAAGTGTTGTACATGTCTTTAAAGATGGTCAATGCATAGATGTTTCAACTACAAATTCTTTAGTTTCATTTCTTGTGTCTCTCTACATCAAGATTGTGTATATTGACATACCAATAATTGGGTGATAATGCCATTGTAGTTATGAAACTGTGATACCGGATAATGAATCCATGATTTATATATACTTTTGTCGTTTAATACTACTAGAGTATACTAAGTATATGTTGAAGCAACGTAATTAACATATCTATACGTTAACATCATTTTTCCTTAACCTTGTAACATAGCCATCCTTCTCTTGCGACGTTAATATATGGGTTGCATGTAACTTC